CCTAAACATTGCAACCAACACACTCACAAGTCTCAGCACGCAATTTGGAAAGCTCTGATCTTGAGGAATACTATGACCTGCAAAGAAAATAGGGAGTATGGTTATTTCTGGAAAAGAATACAGGGCAACAGCATCTTTCAGTCGAATATATAATTTAAGGCACAGCCCAGTTCCCATGCATCATCCGATGACATCTTACTAACAATAAAAAGAGAGCATATTTTTAGCTGTTGCGGTAAGAGGGAAAAACATTCTTGGGAGCATGGATAGCATTTTGTGCTGCAAAGCATTCTTGGCATAGCCCTCTTGAATCTCTGCTCTCAAATTCTACCAGCCCTACAAGTGAGGAGGTGAGAGAATGCTGATAGTGCTGATGAGTTTCTGACATGAGTTTGGCTTTCTCTGTTCTCCAAATGACATTGGCCGGCTGCCCTTAGGAAAGGCTGTGTGTGAGCTTACTTGACAGCTCCCTAGGGGCAGAAAACAGACCTTTTCGCTTACCAGAGGTTTCCTCTTCCCATTTAGTAGTGAATCAACGGGAGGATTTGGAATAGCCCTCTTGGGACATCTTGGCAGTTGTTCTTCTTGCTTGCAAGGGAAGTTGTACTCCTAGCCATTTAGAGTTCATAGTAATTGTATAGTCTTTATTGCACAAATACCCTAAAGGAGTAGATCCTATCTGATCTTAGAAGCCCTCCATAGTGTACAGTACACTATTCCCTCAATAGTGTACCATTCATTCCCATACCCAGCTTCAAAACCCTTTGTCATCTTTTCACCACCTCCTGAATACAATCCGGCTGGAGAGATCTTTCTTGAACTGTGTCAGTAGATCTGATATGGTTCCTGTGTGTGTAACAAAGACTGGTGGGCTCTTCCATTTGTTGGCTGCTCATCTTCAAAGCAATCTAGGCTTTATGACAGAACTGCAGATGTGGAGGACATAATACAAATAAATGTAGGAGATCCTGAAGAAATTGCCATCCATTTGGAGATCCCCTTGAATAAGGTCACAAGCTGTATTTCTAGCAGAAGTGGATATTATGTAGATTTCCTATTCCCTGAGAAGATTGATGCCAAGATGGAGGAAGTGGAGCAGCAGAAGAAACGGACCTTCCAGAAGTTCATGTACTGGGGTGTTGATCTAGATCAGCTCTTTGACATGTTCTATGAACAGCTAATGCAGCTCTACAGCCCCCACCAGCGCCGATGGTTGAACCGGGGCCTGTGCCACAGGCAACGGTCCCTGCTGAAGTGTCTGCCCAAAGCCAAGAAGGAGGCCCCGCTAAATGGAGAAACCCAAGGTGGTCAAGACCCACCTGCGAGACATGATCATCCTTCCTGAAATGGTGGGCAGCATTGTGGGTGTTAAAAATGGGAAGACCTTCAACCAGGTGGAGATAAAACCAAAGATGACTGGGAAGTTCTCCATCACCTACAAGCCAGTGAAGCACAGCCGGCCAAGGATTGGGGCCACCCACTCATCTCACTTCATCTCTCTCAAGTAAAGAACGTGGATGTATCTCAATAAAGGGGCATCCCCCAGTCCCTAGTTCTTAGTGCTCTTTTTGAATGTTGCAAAGGACGGAGGGTTCAGAACCATTATTATTATTATTATTATTATTATTATTATTATTATTATTCAGTCCTAATGTCACACTGCATGTAGATTGCAGTTCCTTACACATTGGGTTGTTGTTTGTTTTCTGACCTATATGGCCATGTTCCAGAAGCATTCTCTTCTGACGTTTCACCCACATCTATGGCAGGCATCCTCAGAGGTTGTGAAGCCTGTGAAGTGGGGTTTATATATCTGTGGAATGTCCAGAGTGAGAGGAAGATCTCTTGCCTGTTTGAGGCAAGTGTGAATGTTGCAGTTGACCACTTCGATTAGCACTGAATGGCCTTGAAGCTTCACAGACCTCACAACCTCTGAGGATGCCTGCCATAGATTATTATTATTTTTATTAAACTTTATTTGTACCCCGCTAGCATCTCCCGAAGGATTAGATGCGGCTTACACAGGCCAAGGCCTCAACACACAAACATAACAATACAATCTAAGCAAATCAAACAATTAAAAACAAAGTAAAGCAAAATAAACAACGGCACAATACACTAAAACACAATAAAACTGGGCCGGGCCAGAGTAATGGGTACAAAGATTAAAAGTGCTGATGTGACAGGAGGTGTATATAGGGCTTCTAGGGCAAGTGCAATGTGCAGCAATCATTGGTTCTGGTAAAGTGCTTATGGGACTTGGTAGTGGAGATTTCCTAATCTGGGAAGGTGCATCGGAAAAGCCAGGTCTTCAAGTTCTTTCTGAAGACAGCCAATGTAGGGGCCTGTCTAAGGTCTTTGGGGAGGGTGTTCCAGAGACGAGGGGGGGGCACCACGGAAAAGGCCCTGTCCCGCGTCCCCACCAAGCGCGCTTGTGACGTAGGTGGGATCGCAAGCAGGGCCTCTCCAGATGACCGAAGTGAACGTGTGGGTTCGTAGATGGAAATGCGGTCACGCAGGTAGGCTGGTCCCAAATCGTTCAGGGCTTTGTAGGTAAGCACCTGCACCTTAAATTGGGCTTGGAATATAGATGCGGGCGAAATGTCAGGAGAGAATGCCATACATGGCCATACAGCCCGGAAAACTCACAGCAACCCAGTGATTCTGGCCATTAAAGCCTTCAGCAACACACTGTTACACATTGTTATATGTATAAGCTGTACTTTACACACTGGGCCTTACTTTTGCAAAAGTAGACATTTTACTGGATGTCTGCTTTTTCCAATATTCAGGTTAGGAAACATTGTTGAATTTCTATGTTTCTTGTTTCTATTTATAGTTCCAAGCCATAAACCTGCAAAAAAAGCAAGTTTCTTTTAACCTGATGGTTCTCCTCCGAGAATCTTACTAAACAACACTTTTCTAGACAATTCCTCCTTTTTAGCTAATCATATGTTTTGGAGCCCTTCCTATAGGGATGCAAAGCACTTTCTTAAATAAATGTTTGTTTTGCAGCTGTAGCAGGAAACAAAATTAGGGAGATTTAAAATTCCTTCTGTTGCAATCCAAAGACCTTACTGGGTTGTTCCATTGGAATCAACTGTGCCTTACAGAATTTCAGATGTGTGTGCTAAGCATTTTCATCTATATCTCACTTTCTATTTGTTTTGACTCTTAGAAGCGCTTCAGATTAGTGTAGCCAGACATTCCTGATAACTGGCTATGTGGGTACAGATTTGTGTGTTGTGGAGGGTTGACAGATAATGAAAAGATCCTTTCCAATGGCTAGCAGGCGGGTGGAATTGCATTTCCATAGACAGTAGACTCTGGAAACCGGATGGAGGAAGTCAACTGAGAAGTTTGGAAGTCATCAGTATTTAAGCATGTCATATTTGATTTTAATTGTGTTTGAGTACTTTTTTTTTGGAACTTCAGCTTCCAGTTCATTACTTGCTGACTGCAAGCAATCTTGTTAGTGTGTCCCGCTTCTCTCTTTCCTCCAATTGCATCCCACCTGCTTGTAGGCAGCTGTTTCTTCTCTTTTAAGAAGTGCATTTGCTTCCATGTTGAAATATGAGGAAATAACTACAGGGGTCTTAAACAGGCTACTTTTACACTGAAACTTCAAGAAAAAGGGCAAGCTTTTTTGTTCTCAGGGAAGTATCTTTGTAGTTCCTTCCCACGCTCCTAGTTCAGTATTTTAACTTGCAATATCATATCTATTTACTTGGGATAAAACCCCATTAATCTCAATGGAACTTGTTCCGGATGCAATAGAGAGCATATCCAGGGATGGGTAAATCCAACATGCAGGGGTGGCTCAACCCACTAGGCAAAGTAAGCATTTGGAGTATAGTTGATTTTGCCCAGAGGCGCTCTTGAGGCACTCTTGGGGGAAAATAGACCTTGACATATGCAAGTTGTAGTTACTGGGATGTATAGTTCACCTACAATCAAAGAGCATTCGGAACTCCACCAATGATAGAATTGAACCAAATATGGCACACAGAACTCCCACAACGAACAGAAAATATATATCAGTGATTGGTTGGGGGGGGGGGAGGGTACTGTTTGCTTACCATTGAAAATTACCTAGGGCCACCTCTGCCAACATGTCCATTTTCTATTTCTGAGATATTTTGGAGGTCTCCTGCTCCTTCCTTTATAACTGTAACATTCTTTATATTTTTACTTAGCATAAGTCTCTTTCGCATTAGACAATGATAGCACTTCAGTACCACCTTAATCACCATGCCTCCTTCCCATAAAATCCTTATGATACTTGGGGAATACATGCCCAGACTTCATGGATACACAAAACCATAGATAAAAGTGAACTCTATTGAAATGGAGGACCCAAGAATACCATAGTTACATAAAAGGGTCTAGATCAGGCATGGGTAAACTTTGTCCCTCCAGTTGTTTTGGACTTGCAGCTCCCACAATTCCCCACAGCATACTCACCTTAAAGGAATTGCGGGAGTTGAAGTCCACAACACCAGGAGGGCCAAAGTTTGTTCATGCCTGATCTAGAAAATGCCGAGAGAGTTCAAATTTTGTTGGCCATGCATAACCAGTCCTGTGATTGTAGCATATTTAAAGAGTGCCAGCACCTTAATAAATACCAAATCCCAGGATTCCATAGGATACAGGCATAGCAGATAAAATGGTATTGAAGTGCTTTTGGTTTGCAGTGTGCCAGTAGCCAAAAAGGCTCACTGGTTAGCAGAGCCATGAAGGAAGGTCAAATGGCACTGCTTGCACTCAGAAAACATGCAGCAGCAAGTATGCTGCCTTTTTCATTTCACCCCAGGTCATAGTGTGGGAGGTAAGGACATGTACTCGAGAAGCAAGTGGGAACTCTAGTTGGATATTTACTTGGGACAAGATCCCTCTCTCTCTAAAGGTTTCTGCACCAGTGTCCACCAGTGTAACTATGGCAGCTGACCCAACTGAATATTTACATATAACTTTCCTCTTTCTTCTGCCTCCTTCTGCAGGAATACCAAGAAGCAAACTAAAGCACTATGTCCTAGCAACCCCAGTCAGCACCACTGCAGATGGAAGTTATATTTCCAATGTTGTTTCTGCAAGCCATTCAAGGAGATCCATACGGGATGTATCGCCAAGCCCCAAGCAACTGTACTTTAATGTGTCTGCTTTTGGAAAGGAATTCCACCTTAGACTCAGACCTAACACACGCTTAATAGCTCCTGGGGCCATCGTGGAATGGTATGAAGATTCTGTGGAAACCAAAAATGGAACTGCTTCTCAGGCTGAGACTGTTGCGGACAGAATATGGAAAAAGGAATTGCTGTGGACCAACTGTGCATATGTTGGGGACCTTGTGGATATACCAGGAGCTTCTGTTGCTGTTAGCAACTGTGATGGTCTGGTAAGATAAGTTTTCTTGTGGATGTTCAATGCTTCTTTGCTTCACTTCTTTGCTGAAAACTTTGAATATTTTAGGAACACATGCTTTGTCTAGAAGAAAAATGAATTTCAGTATTTCCAAAATAGAATATTTTCTTGGAGGTGGAACCAGTTTTATGTTGTTTCCTCCTCCTCCTACTTTTGTGTATGAACTCAGAGATGGAAATAACTAGATCGTCTTTCCACTAAAGAGACTTAGAGAAGCAATGTTTACAGATTTAGCAAGTATATTTATGTAAGGAATTGGCTCAGTATATTAGGACATGAGTGCAGCACCATGATGGTCAATGTCCTGAAATGTAAATGGACCAATCTCTAATCTCCTGGCCTGCCCAGGAGCAATACGGATAGGCTTCAGCATTGGTACAATGGACAGGGAGTTGTTTTTAACTACAAGGCCAGGAGATCTATATTTAGGAGATAGAAGGTTGCAGCAGTCAACCTTTCTTGGACCCTTTGTTTGAGGCCAAACTAAAGGACTGTATTGCCCCACAGAAGACTGTTGAGGCTGTTCTCTCTACCCTGCCACCTTCACAGGCATATCTGGTGGAAATGTAGGAGAATGTGAAGTAGGGTGACTTCATAATTACTCCTAGGCTCCTAAATTTCTTTCTGGGAGGGCTAGAATCGCTCTTATTGTCCTTGTGTTAAAAGGAAATTCCCATAGACCAGGCATAGGCAAACTTCAGCCCTCTAGGTGTTTTGGACTTCAACTCCCACAATTCCTAAATATACTGCTAGGAATTGTGGGAGTTGAAGTCCAAAACACCTGGAGGGCCATAGTTTGCCTATGTCTGGCCTACGGGAATTTCCTTTTAACATGAGGACATTTTGAAGTTGAGGTGTTTTGAAGTCCAAAACACCTGGAGGGCCGAAGTTTGCCCATGCCTGCCATAGCTGTTTGTTTAGAGACCAAGGGTTGGAATTAAAGCTCCTCATAAGCTTATTGGCATAGTAAGTGGACACCCCTCACCCTCATGGTGTCTGTGTTGGTGGTGTGGTAAATCCAATCTAGACTGTACTCCATATTTTAAAAGAGGAATCCAAAGTTCTGAACCCTATGCCAAAGGTAGTTTCAAATAGTTCATTTCAGGTTTGGTATGAAATCTGGATTTAGTTCACTGCCCCACTAACATGGAGGCCATAAACTACTTTTTTTCCTTGTCCCACTCTCCAGTTAAAACTAAATGGCAAGAATAAGGTGTTATGTTTTACATAAGAGCGGACCCTCAGACTCTGTTCCATTTGGCTCCAGGATCTCCCATGGAGACCAAAATCTATGGATTCTCAAGTCCAATTATATGTAGTGGTGTAGTTAAACGGCATCCCTTATTTTCAATGGTGAACAACTTCCATGAGGGAGAGAGAGAATTTGTGATATGGTATGTGTGCATACACATCAACCTAGCACTTGGCCTATGGAAAAATCAAGGTTTGCTTTTTCTACTTTTTCCCAAATAGTTTTGGTGCAACCGGTAGCTAGCTGCAGTACCTATGGATATGAAGGTCCACCAAAGTATTTATGCGGGGGTGGTTAAAAGAATCCCAGTTTCCATTTCCAGATGTCTTTCAAAAGAAACTTGCTGGCTCATGTTCTCATTGCAGAAACCTGACCTGCCTTCTGAATTCATCCCTCACCTGTAACTGTAGGTGCTCAGAGCGAGGAAAGAGACTCTGCAAATGAGATTAGACCAGATTTGGCTTAAGGTATGCAGTCAGTAGCACAGACTGCAAAGAGATGTAGGTGGCATGATGGGAGGGAAAAGGGATATGTGGTTCACGGGCTGGACATCTGTGTGAGATCTCGTATGTAGGACAGAAGGGTTGAGCTATAGCAAAGAAGTGCAAAGCATTTGGACTGTGGCAAAAGGGAGCAATGGGGAGTTACTGGTCTATAAGCATTAACACTTAGAGTAGAAAATACACATTGTTTCTGCACCCTTTTACAGAGCAAAATCCCAAAAATTGGTGCACAGTCTTCTATCCCCGAAAAGAATGTGTCTCCTTGCACATAACTTAAGAGCTCTGGGCAGCAGAAGGCATCATGAACCAACACAGGGCCTTTTTGGACACCACTACAGCTTGCTTACTTTACTTAGGCGATCCCTCGTAGCCCAAGGATGATGGCCCTCCAAGTATAGTGCCTTGGTGGTGGATCTGTAGGTAGTTGTGGAGACCTATTCTTGATCTGCGTGTTCTTCCACAGTGAAGACATCGCTTTCCAGTCAGGAAAGCAGTCCCAGTCAATGTTGGCTTGATGCGCCTTGCTCTTGGCACATTTCTCCCTTTCACCCTCTTGGAATTCCACAGCACTGCAGGTCACAGCTGTCCTCAAGGACCAGGGCTTCCCAGTTCTTAGTGTCTATGCCACAGTTTTTAAGGTTGGCTTTAAGACCATCTTGAAATCTCTTTTCCTGTTCACCAACATTACGTTTCCCGTTCTTGAGATCGGTGTATAGTAA